AATAGGAGAATGTGTAAAGTTCACATTACTTCTGTTTATCAGATATGAAACTAAGGAGGAAACATCAGATTTTTTTTTTATTATGGATACCAACGTGGGGCACCATAAACTTAATCCATAATATAACTGATTAGACGGACGTAGGATAATGGCTGTAATTTAGTAGTTTGTTGTCGAACTATTTGAAACAAAGAAGAACAAGCTTTGGACAAAATAAAACAAAGTTTATTTGCGACTCACTTCAAAAAAATGTCAATACCAATCAATTATGTTGTATAATCAATAATAAAATTCTAGGGAAATTAACGTTTTCCTTCGAATTATCAAGATAAACTACAGTAATACCTCATATAGTGCGGTTTCGATCTGAATTCACTATAGAACGGTTTGAAAATTTCAAATAAACTTAATATTTCACTCTTTCTCTCTTTATGTTGCTATGCGAATTAAAGAACAATAATGAAGAGACAATAGGAGAATGTGTAAAGTTCACATTACTTCTGTTTATCAGATATGAAACTAAGGAAGAAACATCAGATTTTTTTTATTATGGATACCAACGTGGGGCACCCTAAACTTAATCCATAATATAACTGATTGGACGGACGTAGGATAATGGCTGTAATTTAGTAGTTTGTTGTCGAACTATTTGAAACAAAGAAGAACAAGCTTTTGACAAAATAAAACAAAGTTTATTTGTGACTCACTTCAAAAAAATGTCAATACCAATCAATTCTCGTGAAACTTTCGTTCTATTTATTAACTTATTTCTCTCCAAATTGACCATTAGATTCTTCAGATTGTGAAAAATGCTTAGTTTGAAAAAAATGTTAATGTACTTTAGAAATTTTTCAAAGAGCCAAATTCTTCTTTTTTTTTAAATTATACTGGCGTATGTTATAACATGAAAATTTTCATAATAAAATGTTTTTTTTAACAATGTGTTTTACTGTATTCATACAGTGAATATTGATGCTGTGTAAAAATACATGTTCGAAAAAAAAAGTTTGCGTTTGATGTATAGATACATTATCTCGCTGCCAATAGCAATGAAAAGGTCGATTAATTTTTTCGCTGCGATGGAAGAGTATAATTTATTCGGGGGGGCGCACTCTCGCGCTTCTCAGCAGTGAAAACGTTCTATTTTTACATGAAATATAAATAACGAAAGTTCTTTACGCTTTGCTTTTCATTTTGATAATAACTGATTGTACTGTAACGATGTGCATACATATATACGTGCAGTCTTTTGTGTTAAAGGAGCGTTAAACTTTGTATATACACTTTGTAATATATATATATATTAACCTTTCCAGACTCCATTTCCAGTCAACTTCTAATATTTAAAAGTTTTATATTCTGAATAATGTGTGCACTTTCTTTAATCGATAAATTTGATCTACAGCTGTTTTTTAAAAAATTATTTCGTTTAAATTTAGTCAATTTAGTGTTTACTTATTTTTAATATTGAATACATAACAGTTTGTTTTTCATTACAAATAATCTATACACTTTCAAGTTTAAGTAAAACAGTAAAAATAAAATATTAAAATTTAAAAAAAATATATTTTACTTATAAAATGATATATAATCAATAATATAATCCTAGGAAAATTAACGTTTTCGTTCGAATTATCAAGATAAACTACAGTAATACCTCATATAGTGGGGCTTCGATCTGAATTATATAGTGAATATGGTTTGAAAATTTCAAATAAACTAAATATTAATCAAACAAAATAAGTCTTTTTATGAGGTATATGTATTTAGATCCTCGATTAGTCCGGAATATTGATTACCCACAATATGCAAGTTATACGTTTCTTAACTTTTGTAATATGTAAAACATTAACATTTTATATAAATAAATTATTTCAAAAATTAAGAATACAGTACTTGGTAGGTAATGAGAGAAACAAGTTTTTGTTATGGCGGAAACTACATGACTTTTATATAGACTATAACGATATAACAAGAAACTTGTATGTTTTTGTTTTGAGATGAAAACATTGTAGTTTGATTATAATTATACAAGTGATAGATTGAGTGATTAACAAATTTAGAACGTAGACAAATGTTTATAGTCTGGTCAGCTCGAAAACAAGTGTCTGGATACCTGGATATTTGCGTTTGTGGAAACATTTGCTTTTTGTTTCTTTTGCGTCTATTGAAACGTTTAGCTTGATTGCAAAGCTAATACAGTAAAAAAAATATAATTATTGGATTTATTTTTTCAAATACATTATATTTATATCAAGTAAATTATTAGTGTAAATAGAACAATTAAAAACATACTTTTTAATCAAAATAAAGATAAACTTCTTGGAAAATATATGAGTAATAGACGTATAATATTATTTATAGTCGAATAATATATAAAATTAACTGTTCATGATTTATATGTGAGAATTTTTGAGAAATACAATTATGAAGATTTAAAAACAGTTTTTTTTAAATACAGCAATACATTGTATAGTGCGGGTAATCGCACTGTTTCAAACCGGACTAATCGAGAACATTAAATCCGCACAAAATTAAACAGTACGATTTGAGTCTTGAGTATCATTTTTTTTTTAGAATTTTTTCAAATCGTACTATAAAATCCGCACTGATAGAGGGTAGTAAATAAACTAGAGAACAATTCATTCTTATGTTCCACCCATATTCAGTACTATCGCGAACAACTTTCTCATCATCAACAGCGTAATGTGGTTTAGCATTTTTCTTTTATCGCGGGAATTAATTTCTCTGTAATTGTTCGAATATAGACTTTTTGGGTAGTTTTAGCAATGACGACCCTAATAAATAACCTTAAACAAATTGTCAGCGGGTAAAAAACAAAACTAACAATTGTTATAACATTTTACTCATAACAAATTGTTGAGTGAAAGTGTACATAGTAATACGATATTCATGTATATTAATTTTTGAACAATTACAACAGTGGCTGATACCGCCGGTTTATCTAAGACCAGATAATGACGATAGCGAGAGCAGCGTGCATATAGATTTTGTTTCTCCGTTGTTGTTGATGTACGTACGTTCGATTTATATATTCCGTTCGCTCTTGCCCCGCATTAAATTCTCTATAAATTACCTGGAAACTGAAACTCGAGTGCTGGGCAAACATGAAAATAGCCCGAGACTAAATTTAGACTAAAACAAAATATGTTTCGTTTAATATTGAAAGCAATAAATTCGATCGAAGGCTGCTACTACTACAATCCACGTTTCTTCAGCTTCTGAGTTATTTCAGCTATACGCCTAAAATGTATTATTATTATTCTCTCTATTTATATTTCGTATTAACGTTTTAAAGAGTCACCACCAGCTTTCGATATTAGTGAATTTTAATTATACTAATATTTAAGATTTAACTTCTCCGACGAATCCTTCTCTCATCCTGAAACACCACATCCAAATTTGTTACATATTTATTTAAACAAAAGTTAGGTTTCTCTCTCTCGAAAATTGGACTGGCTATCTAGGATATATTAATATTATTTTTCTTTCCTCTCACACACAAGAGCAGCGGATTTTACCTGTATTTAAATATACTTATATAACTACATTTATGAATTTTGTTTGTTTTATTACTGTTGAAAGCATTTACTTGTAACTACTACATTGAATCGGTTTTTTTTTTGTTTTTTTTTTCTTGTTCTCCTGTTGTGCAACATCGTTCGGGGTTGGAAATTGTAGGTGCCTAGACAGCAATTTGCAACTTCCCATATATAACCCCCTCTTCTGCCATCGGCAGAACCACCCCTTCAACAATACTTTCGTGATGAAGTGTTGCCGGGACAAGGACTTCTGCAACGAGCACCTCGATCCCAAACTAACACCCAAACCCCGAGGTAACGAGCTACTACATATCGAATCAAATCAATCAAAGAACCAATTAGAACGCTGCTACTTTTACTTAATTCTCTCTCTTCTATATATATATATGAAAGTTCCAGATTCATTACTATGTATATATAAACAAAACCTCTCTCCCTATATATATATATATTTATCTATTTAATTCTTCACGCACTTGCCTCCTCTTTATTATGTATTTATTTATATACTTTAATTTTGTAGATATCTACTCTAATCATTATATGCAAAAACCAGCATTTCTTTCCAACAAATGTATCCACTTATTTTCTCTTGATCTTTTTCTCTCTTTATTTTGCGCTAAACTGCTCGCGTCTTAAAATTGTATATTAATTTGTATTTATTTATTAATTGATTTTTTTTATAGTGTAGTAACCGGAGTATTAAAACTAGTTGCACCGCACTGGTTTTGGTTCCTTCCGCAAGTTGTACAACTCTTTTTCTTTCTCTCTCTTACAAGTAGTTAGTTTCGTTGTGTTTAGCCAAATTTTGTAGTGTAGTTGTAGAGTAATGCGGGGGTGAAGATGTGTTTACTTTGAGTCGAAGATCACAAATTTCAATTGCGAATATCCAAGTTTTCGCATTAAGGAGACCATCCGGAGGACACGTCCGCTTAATAAAAGAAAAAAAACAGAAACAAAACCACACAAAAGTTTTTATTAATTTTTGTTTGTATTTTTATTTATAATTTTTGTATGGGATCTTTGTTGTGTGTTCAAATTATTATTTATTTTAATTTTAAATGGGTTTCTTTTTCTTTGTATATATTTATTCACGTTCCTTGTTTTTGCTAGATGCCTAAACAAGAGTTACATCCATTTCAATCCGCACTCTAACAAAACCGATTATTGCAAGGAGCAGATCACGGATCTGAGCGAGGAAACTAAAAACGCAATAAGCGCCTCAGATTGCTGCGACTCGTACGATATGTGCAATGCCGCGCTGAGTCCTGTTCCCAGAGAACAAGTGCTTTACAAAGGTTAGAGGAAATTTATAACAAAAGACCGAAAAAAACGAATACAGAAACCGTGGGAATCGAATCGAAATCAACAGAACCTTCCACAACCCACCCGAATCAAAAAACAACATATCTTTTAATTGTTACTCTTCATTTTTTTTTTCAATTTAATTTATTTATTGGTATTATGTTCATCAAGGGTCATTTTATTTACTTATTTATTTTTTTAATTTTGTAGGCCGAAATTTGTGATCGTCCGCATCTCGCACATATGTTTCACTGGGTTTTTATAAATATATAAAAAAGAACATATTAATTGTTTCTATAATAAACAGGACTGTCAATATGGCTGATATTGATTAATCGTTGAAAAAAAAAATACACACATACATAAAGGAATTAAACATTATTATTTACTTTTCGCTTTGAATGCTTGGTGCAATTTTGCTTATTTTTCGTTTTTTAAATACACTTCTTTTCCTATCTCTATCTGTATGTCGACTAACGTTTCATTAACCACTCATTTAACAGAACATTTGGCATTACAATTATTTTTTTGGTTTTGGATATTTAAAATTGACAAATGCTTTTATGTATATATTGTTATGTATATTCCATTTGGGAATATGGCATTGTCAATTTTAAAGTGTTTTTATTTTATTTTCGTAGATTGGTTGTGTTCCTTTTTAGCATGTTTTTACTTTTAGTGTTTATCGTTTAAGAGCATGCCCGAATCTTCAGTTTGAAAAGAAAGAAAAACGTTTTTCCATGTACTCGATGATTTTATTTTAATATCTAGGAGCAGTAGGGAAGATTGAACATTTGAATAGCGCGATTAATTAAGAACGTGCATATTTTGTGTCTTTATGCGTATTTATATGCTTCTGTTAATCTAGATCTAATTTAGTTTTGTAGGTCTTTGTACAAATACAAACATAATAGTTAGTAAGGATTCTTGTTTACACGTTACTAGAATGAGCTGTTCTCATCTTAGTGTTAAGGTTAAAGTTGTTACTGTTGCTATGGTAATTAATCAGTTAATCGTTGACGCTTTGATAGAAGAGCAAGGCCTATTATATTTTTTTAAATATTACTTTAATACTAATCTCAGTACAACTATTTTTGAAATATTATAATTTATTAAATGTTGTAGATGTTTGCGGAAGCATTAAAATATGTACTTTGCTTTGTTATATGCTTTATTTTCAGGTTTTATATCTTTTTTACTGCTCTGTTGTTCTGTTTGCTTTGAACGAGTAATGGAAGATTGGTTTTACTTTTCTATTTTTTTTTTCTTTTTCTAAAATGTAATTTTGAACATATTTCTTTCTAATTTCTGTTTACGTGTGTGAATATAGATGATTCGTTGATTTCGGATAAGTTCGAGCTGTTTCTGTACGCGGTTGTGACAATGCTGGTTGTCATGCTTGCTGTCGTATTGTTTTGGTGCGGTCGGAAACGTTGCCGATCGCCGAACAGAGGAAGACATCAGCATCTTGGTCTCGGCGAGGATAGCACAGAAGCGCCAGACCATCCGATCCTGAACGGCGTTTCGTTAAGGCACATGATTGAGATGACGACGAGCGGCAGTGGATCAGGTACTGCTACATTTAAATATATTATATTAGTATGCTTTTATTTGTATGTTCGTTTCGATAGGTCTTCCGCTTCTGGTGCAGAGGAGTATAGCTCGTCAGATCCAGCTGATCGAAATCATCGGGCAGGGGAGGTTCGGTGAGGTCTGGAGGGGTCGCTGGAGAGGCGAGAATGTTGCCGTGAAGATCTTCAGTTCGCGCGAGGAGCGCTCCTGGTTCCGCGAAGCCGAAATATATCAGACTGTTATGCTGAGGCACGACAACATTTTGGGTTTCATCGCAGCGGATAACAAAGGTATGTTAACAGGAGATACACAAGTGTGTGGTGATTTTTTCAATAATAACGTTTTTTTGCAGACAATGGTACCTGGACCCAGCTGTGGTTGATCACCGACTACCATGAGCATGGGTCGCTTTTTGATTACCTTGGCCGGAATATCTTCGACAGCACTGCGATGATTTCCATGGCCCTCTCTATTGCTACTGGCCTTGCCCATCTTCACATGGATATTATGGGCACTCAGGGTAAATATCTTCGGTGTACTTTTCATTCAAAAACTGATTTACTTTGATATTTATCAAAGAGCAATGAAAATTATGTTCTACACATAATTTAGAATATTTACTACACAATTACTACTTTTGCAAACATACTTAATAATACAAATATGATCAAAGATTATTTTCGAAAATAATTCTTTAGGATGTTTTACTTTAGGATGTTTTACTCAATCAATAATTTTACGACTATGTAACTAAGGCTACAATTTATAATGAATTATTGGTTTCTTAATATTGCTCTAGATTTTTCTTAGATTCTTTATATTGATAAACATACTATCACGGTATATTAATCAGGGAAACATTATTCGACTTTTTAGTTGCTAAATAAAGCTGTAATCTTTTGATTAGAATAGTTTAAACTAGAACAAAATATTCTAAATCGTATTCTTCAAATTGATTCACTGGATTTCAGAATATTTTCCCCCATATTAATGAATAACAGAATACATCTTAAGGAATTAAATTCCAAAAATTGTTGTTTAGAAATCTTCGTCAAATTTTCTAATCGTATTGAAATATAATATATTCCAATATAATTATAATTGTTAAAGTAAATAATTTGCTAAAAGTAAAGTTGGGAAGAAACTTCATACAAATTTAATTGACCTTTAAAAGATGATTTATGTATTAATTATATGTAATGTTTTATTTAGGTAAACCAGCAATTGCTCATAGAGATTTGAAGTCAAAAAATATATTAGTTAAACTAAATGGTACTTGTGCTATTGGTGACCTGGGTCTTGCCGTCAGACATGATGTTACCACCGACACCGTCGATATTCCATCGAACAATCGCGTCGGCACCAAGCGATATATGGCACCTGAGGTACGTACACATCATCTTGAATTCTTCACCTTTAACGATCTTTCTCGATATTGCTTCAGGTCCTCGACGAGACGATGAACATCGATCATTTCGACTCGTTCAAACGAGCGGACGTGTACGCGCTCGGTCTCATTTTCTGGGAGATTTCGCGTAGATGCAACATCGGCGGTATCTACGATGAGTATCAGTTACCATTTTACGACGCTGTCCAATCGGATCCTACCATTGACGAAATGAGAAGGTAAATCCTCCTGCCGTGTTAATTAAAAGTCGAGATGAGTTTATTTCTTCTTTTTTTGTTAGGGTCGTGTGTTTCGATAGGATGCGACCTAGTATACCGAATAGATGGCAGAGCTGCGAGGCTTTAGTGGTGATGTCTAAGCTGATGAAGGAATGCTGGTATCACAATGCCACCGCACGTTTAACGGCGTTGCGGATTAAGAAGACGCTCTCAAATTATCGAACTTCCGAGGAGCTCAGGATGCGAGATTAAATTCTAGTTTTGACCGGTAAGCTTCTGCAACTTACGCATTTGACCTTGTTTCGCCAAAATTTGTTTTGAACTTTGTTGATAGTACATCTAGCACAGATGAAGAAGGCATACAAAAATTTCGCTTAATTTTTAATATAAATAAAAATAATTTCAACAATTTTATTTTAAAAACTTAATTCATATTTCAAATAATAATACCCTAGAATTAGTTCAAAACATATATTCATAAATTTGAAATATTTACGTTTTTATCAAAATTTGATCAAATTATAACTTTTTGATGAAAATTCATTTTGATTAAGTCGTGTGTAACAACAAAAGTTCAAAACAAATTATCTTGACAAATTGTATTTGTTTGCGTTAATTGAGAAAATTATTTTTTTTAACAGAATAAATTTCTTTTGCAGGTGGGATCTTATGTTTCCATAACCGAAGCCGGACTTTTATTCTTATTTATATATACATATACATATTATATACATACTAAAACATACATGAATGGATCTGGCGTGAATGCGACGTTGTTTCTGTTGAGTGGATGCATGTTCTGTACAATCCTTAGGTTTTTAATGGTACCAAAACAAAGAAGAAAATAGTTTAATTTATTAAAGTATTACGATTAAAAAAAATAATATAAAATAATAGCTGGAAGCGATGAGACAGTAGCGTTCATAGAGAAGTTCAGATTCGGATGGAAAGATTTAAGATTGCTGAAAACACGAATCCGAGGATGATGCAAATGTAGATAGGTTTCGATTTGCATAGTTCGAAGGAGGAAATAGCGAAGAAGAAAAACAATATATTTATATATATAACCACTGCCCTCTATCCCCCACCTCAGAATATTCCATTCCATAGTAGTGTTAACTAAACTAAATAAGCTTCCAAACAAAAATGAGAGCAGCTCTTTTTAAACGAATTTAATTTGGTTGCTCGTTGTATACATTTATATACAAAAAAATAATAATAAAAAACACACACAATCACTCAAAATAATAATAATATACATAAGCAACGTTCTAAAAGTGACAGATAGAAACTTAGTTCTTTGCCAAATTGTCCCGTCAATTATATTTTTTTACAATGAACAATAAGCATTTAAAAGACAATAGACATAACCGATACGTTTAAGTGGAGACGAAGGAAGGGAGAATTTACAAAAAAAAAGACAAATTTGCTCACAGACATGAATGAAATACTTCACTGCCACTTTTTCAGAACGCTTCGTGGATCTTCTGCAGAGTAACGTTTAGTATGATTTTTAATTTAATAATGTTTGTTTTTTTTTTGACAGATTATATAAGCAAAACCTGAATCACGAGTCAACCAATATACTTCAGTTGTGTATGTTTAACCGTTTTGCCTAATTTTTGTGTGCATGATGTCTTTAAAGATATATATATATATATAAAGAAGAATAATGATATACGAAGATAATTTTTGTAGTTCCTAAAAAGAGAGTTGAAAAAAAAATCGTGAAGAAAACAACAAAATTTGATGTGTTTTTCGAGTTAACTTTAGTTTAAATTTATTTTTCGTAAATTTTGTTTTTATTTTTGTTCATATTTATAGATATATATATAATACTAATTATATGAAAAAAAATTGGCGCGCTTATTTTCTCTATTTACAAGTGGATATGAGTAAAGTTGCATGGTGTAAAAGAAGTATTTAAAAAAAAATATGAAATATGAAACAAAATGAAAATATTATCGCTGAGACTATATTTGTAATATTTTTGAAGAGAAATTGTTGTATTGCCTGTGAGAGACATTGTTTAGTTTCGCGATAAATATATATTGAAAAAAAAAAGAAATGTTAAGATTAACACAAAAACCGGTGCCTTCGAGGCACTAAATATTTAAAAGATGAAGAGTTAAGACGAAGATGAAAGAGAGAAAAAAAAAGAGTATAGTTTGCATAAGAAGTTATTGAGAAATTACAAAGTAAAGTGGAGAGAAAAATTATAAAAATGAATATTTTTAAGTGGTTAAAATGAAAAAGTTATATATATATATATTATATAATCAAATTATTATTGTAGATTTTAGTTGTATAGTACTGACGACGAGAACGTAGCATGTTGATTTTTTATACACTTATAGATTTATTTGATTTTCCTTTAATTTTGTCTTTAATTATTATACTTGTTTGTTCGTTTTCTTTTTTTTAAATGTTTTCTTTTTGTGTTTTTGTTTGTTTTGATGGAAAGGAGCAATTGTTCTGCAGGGTATCTTGATGTGCGTGCTGCATTCAACCGAATTTGCCACTGCCGAAAGAGCGGTGTCAGACTCAGTTGACGCACTTTGACATATCAAAATGACCAAACTGCTGTAGTAGGCGTGGAGTTTGGAGCGAATGGGGCGAGGATTTTTTTATATTTGGGGAGGGGATGAATACGAGACATTGGATTTATCAAAATTGGTGCAAAATTGAAGACTGATTCGGAAATTATAGGATGTAAGAAAACTTTTACTAATTGGCTAAGGAAATTATATTGAGACGAGGATGATGGAGAAAAAGCAAAATTGGTTAACGAGATATTGTTATTTTTTTTACGCGCGAGAGAACGAGATTGCATTTGTTTGTCTTTTACGTGTACAATTGATTTACTTTTCATAAATACTTTGTTTATTTTTTTCCTTCTTTAATTTCTTTGTTTGTTTTTTTTTCCATAATTATTTTTAATTTATTACGTAGAGATGTTTAAACCAAAAGAAAAACAACAAACAAAAGGTGAAAAAATGTTCTAGAAGAGAGAAACAAATCGAAGAAGAATAGTACTGTTCTTTTGTCAATATATGTAAATACTGATAAGATCTAGTTGTCTATCGTCTTATTATTATTATATAAAAAAAATGAAGAATAAAAGTGAAAAAGAAAGAATATAAATGAGAAAAAGGTTACGCCATTCGATGGTGAAATATTTTTAAAAACAAAAATAATACAATAGCGCTGTTTTGCAAAGGTACAAATTCTTGTCAGAGTTTTTATACAGAGTAAAATTTGTTGTCAACTTTTTTGCCAAAAGATGAAAGAAAAGAAAATAATAAGTCGACAGAAGCGCGCGGTCGCATTCAAAACAATTGAGTTGAGTGAAACCGCGTCGGACGTCGTTATATAATTCATAGAGATTAAGGTATGTGAAGAGCACTGAGTTGCGAAATTGAACAAAACAAACAAAATATTGAAGGTATTTTCTCGATGGATGATGATGATGATAATGGATGGTCTAATACGTTTTTGGCAATACATTTTTTCTATTAAGTGTACTCTAATCTCTATATTATTATTATTATTAGATTTAAAAATTCCTCAGGATTAATGTACACACAAATGCAATAGTTATCCTTATTATAATAAAAAAAAAGAAAGAAAGAAAAAAAGTGAAATAGTTATAGAAGTTAAAAACAAATTAATAATAATAATACAAACAAAAAAAAGAGAATTAAGAAAATAAATAAATAAATAAGAATATATGTATATTCAATTTTTTTTTGTGGAGCTTCATTACTATATATTATTGAAACGAAATGTGAGAGAAGAAAAAAAAGATGATGATGATGTGCATTGTATGATGTTTGTTTAATTATTATTCATATGTTTATGATTGTTTATTGATTTTATTTTTTTGTGAGATCGTGTCTTTCGCGTAATAGTTTAGCGGACTTTTCTTTTCACTTACTTTCTTTCCTTTGTTTTTTTTTTCTTTAATTATGTTTGTTTTATTGTACAGAGATTTTTTTTTGTTCTTATTTTTTACTTTTTAATGTGGCTTTAGATGCAACTATGTACCATTTATAAACGTATTTGAAAATATATTATACTGTAAGAAGATGTTTGCTTTTAAATTTACTTAATTCAACCTTTTCCTTGTCCAAATTTTAATATTAATGAGAATTGATAAACTAAAGTATTTACTTGTCTTCTACTTATAATGCTCTCAATTTTTTGTAGTTGTCTAAACTTCTGATATAAACAACTTAAATCCAGAGTTTCTAAAACTTTTATCCGCGCAACCTGACATGTTTGTTGTTGGAATGCGATGTAATTGCTAAGTGTATTTCACTAGTTCCTCGCTTTGACACAAGGTGACAGCTGTTATTTCACGACCCAGTAAAAATTTAACGCAATTCGATTTTAGGGCATAAATCTGTTGAAATTATTGAAAACTATTAAATAAAGGAGGAGGATTTGTCCTTNNNAAACATTGGATTTAGTTAAATAAATATTTCTATTTTATGTTCTGATGATTATATTTTCTAGAATTTGAGAGTATATATATCTGAGAATTTATTTTTTTATTGTAGATTTATGAAGTAATTTATAGCTTAATATAAAAACACAAGTGTCAAAAAATAACTCATAAGTTTAGACTATAATTATTGAAGGAAAACATAAATCTACTAGTTTATGACAACTTTTGGAAGAAGCTTTTAAATTAATGTTTGTTGAATGAAAATAAACTGTGAAATGATTATTATATAAATATTTATTTAATTGCTCTAAAATTTACAAGAAATTGTCATCGTGCATTTATATATATATAAAATGGGGATTTCGCTCTATATACAAATTAGTAAAATATCATGGGACCTAGTCTAAATTCGCACAGCATGCACCGTAAATAATATATGTATTACGATCAATTTTTGTAAACACTCAAAAACGGTTTATCTGGATTCGGCTGGAGCCAGTTATCTTTGGAATAAACCGTATCTTTCTGCTCGATCACGTGGAAAGTGTAGACGTGTCGCGATTTCGATGATCGATTGGGATCGCTGCTGTGCACGACTTGTCCATCAATCAAGATGCATGAACCTAAGCAAAAATTAAAAGTTATTTTGATCGATTTTTGTTGTTGTTGTTGTTGTAAGTACCTTTAGGAACTGGCACGGCTTCGAAATTGTTCCTCTGGTAGAAAGGCGCTGGTCCCTGGTACATCAAAAGATCTTCCGAAGATGTATCTGGGTTCTTGATGAATCTACGATGGACACCGCCTTTATGCGAACCTCTGATGAACTTGAGACAACCGTTCTGTAAGGTGGCGTCTTCGAGGGCAATCCAGAATCCGAGAACGTTGACGGGTTCCGTGTGAAGATAAGTCGCATCCTGATGAGGAATCACTAAAAATGATGATGAGTCAGATGAGCGTGATCTAACGCCAGGAACGGAAATTTGCCAAATTTTGAAGCGAATCATCTAAATTTAAGTTACCTTCGCCACCGATCCCTGGGTTTTTGAAGATGTACATGCTCTGAGCGATCGCAGGTTCCTGGAAACCCATCTGGAAGCAGACCTCCTTCACCCGCTCGTCGAAAGTGATCTGTCTGAAGGTGGGATTCAGATCGTGCAGAGCATGACCGATTTTGTTCAGCGATACCTCAGGCTCTACCAGCAACGACCCGTCCTTCGCGAGAGCGCCTTCCTCGAAGAAGTAACTAATTTTATCGCTACTCTCGAGGAAATACTTGTCCTTGTTCTGCTGCTTCTCGGAATCCACAGTGCTGAAGACGGTGCGGTTAGCCTGATCCGGCATATCTCTGATCAAATTAACCGCTTCGCTCTTCAAGTTCTCGGTTTCCTCTTCGGTGAGGAATCCTTCCAGCACGCAGAATCCATCGATTTTCAACTGCAAATCATCAATCATTAATTTTGTATTCGATATTTTCGGTAAAATGTGGGGGCGTCGGGAAATTCGATTTCTCTCTAATAAATGAGTGTGGGCATAACAAAAATGCGGTTCCGAGCGCAAAGTAAACTGAATATCCCCCACGTAGTTTCTAGTCTGAATCATTCCCATCCAAATTAAAACACTCTCGCTTTCATAAAAACAAAAATCAAACACAAAACGTACCTTGTTCTTAAAACTCTCAATCATCTCGACTCGTTTATAACGTTTATCAAATGTTGTTCGACTGACCGCAGTTGCCTTATTGTGCAAGACCTTATCTTTTTCAATTTGTTATTATTATTATCTCGTTTCTTTCTCTCGCAGCACTCGATCTTATCTGACCAGGGAACAGTAAACAAGCAGTAGCAGCACCAACAAAATCACTGTACCAAGAGTTAAGTTAACGCAACTAACCAACTAAAACAGTCTTCGTTGCCTCCGGAACATTCAAATGCGGAACTTCCTTGCTTCGTGCAGATGTCATGCGCACTTGGCCGAACCGTTCGTAATCGGTCTAAATATATTCCGGCTTAAACGTACACTCCTTCATTCAACATTTTTTGTATTTATTATTCTTCACTTTTTGCACCTAATTAATTAAATCACCTATCATAGCAATCATCATGTACAGTTAATAAATAAACATATTATAATTAAGTTATTTCATTCTTAACTTTCACCAAAAAAATATTCAAAATAGCTAAAAGGAATACGGTAGAACAAAATTATTTAAAAATAGAAGAAAAAAACAACATTATTGTAGAAACACTCATAATCGAAAATATCATTTTCATTCATCACATTGATCTCAAATAGATAATTTCTTTTATAACCGATTATCTTTTAAATGTTAAACGTTTGATACAATTGATTTATAATTGACTAATTTGACAATACACGAAAAATATTCAAAGTAGCAAAAAGGAAGATTGCAGAAGAAAATCATTTAAAAATAGCAAAAAATAAACAACATTACAGGATCGCTCATATACGAAAATATATGTTTTATTCATCATATTGTACTCAAATAGAATATTTTTCATGTAAAATTATTTTAGAATTTTCTAATTTAATATCGTTTCAAATTTACTTAAACATATTAAAATAAGTTATAATTGTTAATTAATTAACACTCTATTCTGTTTAAATATTTATTATAGTTTAATTGATTAGTATTTTTTCATAAGAATGATTAAATTTTTAAATAATTTCAAAATTAATTGCCGGAACATTGATATAAGAATATAGTTTATATTTATATCTGCTACATAGTTTTGAAATAATGTATTGCAAAGTGGAAAGACAAAGAGGATTTTTCAGGTCACAGGTCTTCCCAACAAGAAAGTTATATCTCAAAATATTTTCCAGTTCTTTGTGTGTCTATACGATTGGAAACATAATTGTTTCAAAGATGATACTTATGATAATTATTATCTTGACTAATGGCAGAGAATTAATGTTCACTTGTAAGACAGTATGATTACATTTTAGTGAAAGATAAACAGAAATCTTTACCCTCTTTAAATGTGAATTAAGGCAACTGAAGAATAAACACTGAAATAACGTAAATAATGATAATTTTCAATGATTATTTATATTTAAGCTTAATATTAAAATTGTAATTTGTCTTATGATTATCTACTATATCAATCATGATTAATTTAAGCTCATATATTGTTTTGTTTTTTATTGGAACGTATGAATTAGTTTGGTTAACATCAAAGTTAATTTAGCAAGAGAAAATTAATCAATTGATTGATTAAAATTATCGCATGTAATTACTATAAGAGCATTTTTCTTTGTGATACTTTTTTCGAATTTATATTTAAATAACACGAATTTCTGCATCTTTTCTTGTTCGAATTGAGTCATTTATTGAAATGTCAGTGTTATAGAAATACAAAAGAAATTCTGTTTGTCTTTTTTAGACTACAGTTATTCCCCGACTTATGAACTAGTTCCGTTCCAAAGAGTTGTTCGTATGTCGAATTTGTTTGTAAGTATGGGAATTTGAAAAATAAATATACTTTTTACTGCCTGCATAAATTTGAAAAAAATAAATTAAAATAAACAAAATACTATGTAAGTAATAATACTTTTCAATATAGACATCACAATTATTTAATAAAAAACGACAAAAGAAACAAATGCAACAAAACATCTTCCAAAAATATTATATTTTATTAAAGAAATTATCAATTTTTGTTTGAACAGTTAATTTTAATTTTTTATCACTATATATCTCCTTGTAACAAGTTAGAGCTTTTAGAGTTTTGTTAGTATGTTCGGGAGTTCGTAAGTCGTGGGTCGAGGTTTGGTATAATAACGAATTCCTGTGTAAATCTTCCACACTTGTTTTATAAATTTTATTTTTTCCGAGAATAATATTATGAAAAAAAATAACTGCTTCTCCGTTACTACGAAGAGCTTAAAGAGTTATAATTTTAAAAAAAAAGTTGGATATTTTCCAGTAAACAACAAAAATTATATTGAGAAACACTGGTATACACATGTCTATCGCGGTAATTTTAATATGAAAATGAATACGTGTTTGTAATTGGATACAAAGATAGTGAATTGCTTACTTGTAGTGGAAAGGTAATAACAAAATATGTAATGAAACACTATAGATTTTTAGCATTGCAATCGAACAGAAATATTAGATGTTAGTTATTTCCTAGATGGAAAACATCAGAAATAACTCAAAGTAAGAATTATTATATTTTTGTTCATCATTATTAAAATCATGATAAAACATTACGTTCATGAATTAAATTGCAATTGGCAAAATGAAACGTAATTTAATTACAATTTTATTGCAAATAGTAAATAACTTATAAACCGAACAATATTATTTACAACATTCTAAGTAAATTTGGTGTATGAAATGGTGCTAAAATCACCCAATCAAGTAAAAAACAATTCAATTTATTGAGAATATGTTAATTTGTAAAAATAATCTGAAACGGATTTGCATAGATTATTCATAAAGTTATGCAAGCGATTTGCACGCGCTGGAATTGTATAAAATAGTTCACCAAAACACGAGTAAGTTTGTTCCATTGCGATTGAATCATCGAGTGCATGTAAAACATCATTCATGATTATGTTTATACAAACATGAGAAAACGAGCGCAAAGTTCGAACGACGATAATGCGGTATCGCTTTCATCCTCTTATTTTTTTTTTGTGACGATACATTGTTGTTAACTATCGTTAAATTAGTTAAGTTTCATCAAACAAATAATGAAATTAGGAACGATGATAAGATGGAGTACGTTGATATTCGGATTAGTTTTATTAGTATATTATAGTGGGTACAAGCATTAGCGTTATATAATGGATATATGGATCATTCTAAGCTTAGATTACATTGTTTTCCTCTAACATTAATAGTATACATTATATACATTGAGTAATAAAATGTATACAATGTATACATCAAACATTCTTATTCTATTTTCGTACTTTGATACTTGACATTAATGGTATCTCAATGTTACTAGAATTTTGTAAAACAATAATGAAGAAGCTTTAAATCTAAATGGGATAGTGATTATTTCCATAAGCAATTACCTATTCAAAGCGTGCGTTCAAGTTGTTTTCTTCCGGGAATTCATATACGATTGTAAACAGAATTATCTATGTTCATGTTGAAGTGAACGATGAACTTCTTGAGAAGGAAATAGAATTCTGCTACGGCGACAAGAAATGCGCTCATCACGCCACGTATTATGCGATTTCCTTCTTTCTCCGGGCCAAACAACCAGTCCATGCCGATGTATCCAAAGAAGAAACTTGCGAGCACCGAAACGATGAACTGGAAAACGACAATCATCTCCGTCTCGATACACTTCTTCATCTGCGGAATACTGTCCTCGAAATTCCTCCTTCTTGAGCCGTCCACGTTCCTCACCATATCATAGTACTCTCTGTTCATCTGATGCGCTCGCAAGCGGATGCAACGTTTCTCGAGTTCCTGATTACGAGTGACTGTCTTGTTCTTCGGAACGACGAGGATCGATCCCTCGAAGAGTTCATTGAAGTGCACATTACGGTCGCCGCCAGCGTCGATATGATCCCTTATCCAGTGCAAATCTTTTAGGTACAGCAAATCGTCGCATCCATTGTCGACGCGGCCATCCTTCATCTGGTAATGGTCCTTCGCCTTATCCATATCCAAACAATCGAGGAATTTCTTATTGGACGGATCGAACAATACTTCCATGCAATTCGGCTTAGGGTCAGCAGACTCTTCCGCGGATCTGTAATTCAATACATTTATCGGCATCCCGTCCTCGCTCTCGATGGCTCTTATGTAATCCTGCAAAGCCTTCGACGGTCTTACGCCAATATAACAGTTTTCTATTGGACCTACCGACATATTAATACCTAAAATGATTTGTAAATCTCTCGAATCCCTTCCTCTATTAAACTCTTACCGAAGTCTGAAGCTGAAACTCTTGGTTGCTTCTGAATTTATAATCACCTGATTATTCACAATGACAAATGGTTATATAATTATTAGAAGTATCGAAACGGGAACAGATAAATCCTGTTCATATAAAAAAAACCCTTGCAGTCAAAGAAGTGACGTTGCCAACTGCGTCCCTACAAAATGTCAGCCCATTCAAAATGTCCAAAACTCAAATAAATATCACGTCAATATGAATTGCAATAATTTAAATTTTCTCAATTTTTTTTTTCGAATACTCGTATAAAACCATCGATTTCAATTGAAAATCACTTCTTATTTCCAAGCGAAGGCCAAACGTTTTCTAAGAACTTAAGGAAATTCCAACAATTATGGAAATTGAAAATCAAACAAAGTATATTTACACCAACAAAACAAGTTTTATTTCCATTCGAATTACAATATTATTATGTTTCTTTCGTCTTATAAATTAAACCACCTTAAAAAAATAATTGCTATTTTTGTTTGTTGTCATCACCAAAGTTAAGAAAAAAAAACAAACAAAATGAACGTAACTGTTATTTACAATGCGTTTATCCGATTTAATAATAGTAAATCACTTGTCGTGTTTGAGCAGAGCAGTTAAATTAAAAATACATTTCTAGGTCAATAAATAAGAATGATGTAAGGGAATTCGATGTAAACAATTGTCCATTCGATTCCGATGCCACCTCTCTAACTCCTTCTGTTCCTCGCGCAGCGAGAAGCGCTTTTTTGTAATTTCTTGTATGCTTTGGAATACACAGTTCAAAATCGAGCCGACGACGGCATTTTAAGTACAGTTCCGAGCCCGATAAGACGGATAAACGTAAATGGAGAGAGCACTAGACAAGCGCCGTGCTTAGTCTATGGAGTCATTTAGTTCTGGTGCATCGATTAGTGAAGTGATGTGAGCTACCCTCTACTCCAGTGACATGCATTAAATTATTTTTTATTTTTTTAACTAAACTTTGTACAAATCCATTGTATAAGTATGTAGGAAATAAAAGTGATTTTCGTTTTCTTACTTTACAGGTAACCTAGGGCATTATAAAAAAATACGTTGCCATGACTTCCTCGTTGAGTTGCTTTATTTAGGCCCTTTAATTTTGTATCACTAATTTTAATCTAATTGACTACTCACTCTGCATTTTCATCTTTTCGAATCGATTTAATCGGTGCCATATCCATCATTTGAGTGAGCTTTTTCCCTCACGGATAATTCTCAATTACGAGTTCAGTTTGTGGTCCCTTTTATTTCATTTTTCATAAAATTTATGTCCGATCCAAAGAGATATTTCACTGTAAACTCGATTCTTGAGATTTATATTTTAAATGCGAGACAACAGGTGACTAGAAGTTAACTTCGTGCAAGGTAAATTATTTTTTGGGGAATGTCGTAAAGTTTATCCAAAGGCGAATTTCGTTAGTATCCAAAATCGGTGAATGTTAATCCTAAAGGAATATCACAATGTTGCAAAGGACGTTTAGACAGCGCCGCTCAGTAGGCTTCCACCAGCGTCAACTCCTGCTGCTCGTCGGCGAAAATCTCGAAGTTTTCCCTGGACGAAGAGTATTGTCTGAAATCTATAGCATTTTCGAAGATAAGAAAAAAAAAAGAGGATAGATTAATTTAGAATCGCATAAAACGTAACAGTTTTATTCAATAACAATTTAGAAAACAAAAAAAAGGCGAAACAGATAATGCAATTTAATTGGCACATACTTGATCATCATCTTTCAGATAGAGAGAGAGCTAATCTATTAAGTACAATAGATATTGTTTATTTTTTTTTGGATACGCATCAAGGCAACATTGCTTATCTTTAGAACTAATTAAACAAAACTTAAGCTCAATTAAAAAAAAAAGAGATAGAGAATAATTAGGGATAAGATACGAGGACCTTGACAAACTCGCAATTAAAGTTTTTATTTCGTTTACATTGTAATTAATACTATTAATATTAAGGCGTTCCGGTTCAAGAAACACGTCAATTTAACTTAATCGTCTGGAATAATCTCATAACCTAGGGAGTAGAAAAACGTAAGAATGAGTATATACATTTATGGTATTTGCCCTCTCGGCTCAAAGGATTAGTATTTAAATCTAGTGAGAAATACTGACACAGTTCCGAACGGCACGCGCTCAATTGCAAATCGGGTACAAATTAATTGCCGCCTTGCGCCATGAGCGTCTCAGTAGGAACGAAGAACACGTGATTAGTAGTTTTTAAGTAATACAAAACGAACAACAAAATAAATACTGTACAAAAGAATCTCGCATCTCTTTTTTTTTCTATCCCACATTCTCATTCCTCCTCCCAAAGACATAGTAACATTCATTTTTTTTTTAATACTTTAATCTCAGTTTATAATAATGCATTATTAGTATAGTTACAAATTATGTATCTGTATGCATATTTAAGTTAAGTTAAGCATTGTTGCCTTGCTTCTACGTAGTTACAGATTCACCAATTTCCAATTCCGGTATGTTTGATAGTGTTATTTTAGACGGCTTATTGATCTCACCTTTGTTAGAGCTTCGTCTCATTACGATATATTGGACTAAAGCGTGCAGCAGGCACGCGATTAACGAGGCTATCCCGAAGATGCGGAATGTTATCGAAGCACTGTACTTATCGTGGAAGTAACCACCGAGGAAGCTTCCGATCGAAACGCCGATTCCTTCGAAGGCGGCACCGACCAAACCCTGAAATTGAAAATTACACTTAATATTCATAATAACCCGAACAAAAAATAATATGTTCATAATTATCATTGACCTCATTCTTTTATAGTTTAACACTATATACATCTTAACACTTTATATTTTTAAAACAAATACATAAAGTTGTAATCTTTGATAAATTGGTTTAACACTTTTCAGGGGCCAAAAATTCCTAAATTTCTAGACCAAACTCATTTCTAGACAACTGAATCAGACAGCTAGCTACGTCAACTGAATCAACATCGGATGGTATGGTCTATTAAGATTTATTCACTAAAATAAAGCATAATTCCTCTTTCCTGAACATTTCCTAGAAAATTATAATGCATGTTCAAAAGGTGGGACAATGCGTGTCCCACAACCCCTCAAAGAGTTAAAACTTACTACTCTTAAAATTTATCATTTTAGTAAAGTACTAAAATTGAGCATTTTGACTTTCATAAGAGATCAAACGTCAGATATGAAATGTTGTTGTTTTCATATGCACGTGCAAGGAACCACCAAAATATCCAAAAACAGCGTAAATACTTGAATTTTTGAATCCGCACAACAACTATAATCATTTAAAAATAGATAATCTTTATGATTCAATTTGGCTGAGTGCTTTATTGGATCAATTAAATCGTATAATTAATAAGGAACAGACGAGTACAGACGACCTTGATCTTAAGTTTAAACTATTAAACAATCGCATTTATTAGAGCATTTTGAAATTTTCTAGTTCTATAAAAAAAATGGTATTTATCTTTGGACTTTCATTTAAGTTTTAGCTAATTATCTACAATTCACGTTGAAAAGAAATATACACAATAGATAAATTAAATCTCAATCGTTTAATCTATCAAAATTCTAATTCACATATAATTTTCCTATTTTTATCTTGGTAACTAATTACAAGGCAACAGTTTATATTACGATAAAAAATATGTTGAAATACATTTTGTTTACTGAGTGAAATGATTTAAAAACCAGTTTTAATAGACGTTGAAATCAAACAATAACAACACTCAGTCAACATTTATATGTAATTACTCATTTCAATCTCTTAGATTCGATCATCCACAAAATATAATAGATTGTAAAATTTGTTATTATATTTTAGTTGAAATATATTTTTAAACAACATTGAAATTTATTTGATGAATATTCACTAAACAATTATTATCAGTTAATATAACGACGCAGAATAGAAATATCCAGGGCAATGACATTCAGAGTACATGTCTTCAGTTTGTTTAACGTAAGTAGAAGATCTCCTTATTATGTATTGGAATATCTATAAATGACTTATTACAATCATTACGTCAAAAGCTAAATTCAACAAGAAAGTTATTTGTTAAATCATCATGAGTGCATCATAATCTTAGGTAAACTCATGTAGAATCGTTGTCTAAATTTTAAGTAATTAAATAAAATTAATCACTGACAGAAATAGAAAAATATACAATTGTTCGACGTTACTAAGTTGTTGCTTCAATAAAATGATACATACACCATTTAGGTTCAAAACGCATTGAATGAGTATTTAAATTCTATTTCCGAGATTCCAAAGACTCATGAAATGCATAGCATTAAGAGTTGTCTCTCGTTAGAATGTATTTATTATAAGTAACAAAAAGCGAAGTTCTTATAATTATACATTTACACCTCATTTAGCGCTTAAGATGCGTTACTAGACGCCAAGCGCTAAACGAAACGTTAGGTAAATTTAGAGCTCGTAGAATTTTTATACCTAATAACCCAAAATATATTCATTTACGCCGGCATTACTTCTGATCTTTTTCATTACCCCTAAGAATTTACTTTTGGGGGTATTTGACCCCGGTTCGCCGGGTTCAAATACCCCGTGTATTGAGTATCACTTTGTAGATGTACCATTTAAATCGGATTCCGTAAACTAATTCTCAGTTTATTGGTAGAATAGTACGCACTTACTCGTACAAGACACGTGTGCTTGTTCATGAGACTATATAACAATTGGACCACTTTAAAAATCACTAACATACAATATAATTCTAAGACAGCTATTGTAAATTAGTTTGCATGTGAGGAACAAGGAAAAAATACGTGACTCATTGACGAAATGGAAGTAATATACAGAAAAAAAAAATATAACTAGTTTTTCTTGTTTTTCTTTAAATTATATCTATTTTGTTATCATAGTAGTTTAAAAAAAATAATCGAAAAAATTATTTTTTTACCGGTACAATTAGTACCAAACAAGCAACGATCGCAGTCTTACCGCCAATTAATTAATTTTAGTTTGGAAAGTATTTAGTGTATCTTGTATTTTTAATGTAGTTTCAATAATTTTACTTATAGATAAATATGAAATTATAAAACCTTTAGTTTATACATTAAGAAAACATCTATGTCATGAGTTTTAATATATTATAAGCGTTTTGTAAAATATATGAGTTGGTTTCAGTTTGCTTTTGTGACAAAAGCAATGGTACACTATGGATTTTATCGAGTTAGAAGTTTGAATAATATATGGAACATGCATGCAACAATAGATTCCCGTGCATTTAGGAAACATGTTCCTAAAGCAAAACGAAAATGCAACGAACACGATAATTTAAATGAGACGGTAACAGTATAACCGTGTGTCGAGTTAAATTTTCCGCGATTGCAGAATCATAATAAAATGCTGATGAAAACCAGACACGTCGTATCGCGTGCGTAAATAACGTATAATTTATATGACATAAATAATGTAATCTTACCTGAACAGTGGTGGAGGTTCCAGGCGGGGCGACAATACTAGCGTACGAAGCCATACACGCGTAAAATAGACCGAATGTGATTCCATTCAGCAGTTCGATGGGCAAAACCCACCACGGATTGGTCAGAATAGAATACAGAATGTACCGAATGCCGATGACGAGAAGGATTAGCGTCATCGAGTGCACGTGTCCCAACTTCTTGCAGATCCATCCGGAGAGGAAGAAGAACGGCAGCTCACCACCCAGACACTGTATGGCCATAACCAAACCCTCGAGCGTCTTCATCCATTCTTTGTTGTCTCCTGCCAACTCCTCGAGCAGCCAGAACAGGAAATTCCAGATGAGACCCGTGCAGAGGCCGACGAAGATGCACCATAACATGAAAATGAAAATCCTAATATTCGCCAACAGCCGCGTTACGTCCCTCAAAATACTGGCCGACATTTTTTTCTGATCATACTGAAACCCAAATAAACTTTAATAAATGTAAAATCTTTAAAAATAAAATTCGAAAACGTTACATTTAGCCTGGATGCGACCAGTAAATCTAACACAAGAATGGCCAGACTCATGTAAAATACTCCGGTGTAATTTTTCTCTGCTTCCCCTGAACTCATCGCGTCCATGACGAGACCTGCTATAATGGAAAAGACGCCCCATCCCAAAGAACCGAATGATCGCTGGATCCCATACTTGTTCGGTTTATCCGCTGAAATTGTTATAAAAATTAATATACGAAATTAATCTTCTTGGATTGTATTTACCCAAGAGTTCAAAGCATATAGCATCTGATACGCTCACTACAACGGCCTGACCAATCCACGCGATTATCATGAGACCTAAGAACAACCAAAATTGATAGTAACTTGTAACGTTTTCATCGCTGAGCACGGGTTTAGGTAACAATGCGTTGACTTCGTGCATGTCGCACGAGACATCGCAGATCGTCCGAATAATGTTATCTCCCAAACACTTCGGAGGCTGCACCCTTCCGCTGGGCAAGGTCGCGTTCATGATGCGGAAGTACACGCAAGGTGCATTAAATTGCATCACTTTTTCTAAAGGCGCATGGGCGGTGAAATTGAAGACGCCGGATTCCCTGCCTTTAAACTGTTCCTCGCCCCAACCATCGGCGACGATGTCCCATTGCTTCGTATTCAATGGACAAGCCATCTGTAAGGTAAAATACGCTCATATCAAACTGATTGTGATATCAAGATTGAAAGTGGTGTACCCTGCATTGGGTGGTCTTCCCTGGCAATCCGTTAACTATGGCTGTTAACGCTTGGTCGTTCGTCATGTTGCTAGGGCCTATGCAAGTATCGAATGCTGTCTCTCCGTATTCGCAGTACAACCTGACTTTAAAATTAGGCCCATCATCTATTTTAGGAACGTATTGGAGGCACGTGAAGGCGATCGCCGTTATCACGATCATGGTCATGAACATTTTCTTTTGGCATCGATACTTATCCGCTATGGCACCCATTATGGGTTTGGCAAACATCCCTGCTATTGGCATTATTGTGTATATGATACCAACGACGAATCCGGAAAAGCCCAACTGCTTCGCATACACCGAAAGGAACGGTGTTACGGGTGCAGTGCCTATAACAAATAAGTTGAAATTAATATACGCTCTTATCAATAGCCCATTTATTTGTATATGATATGAACACTAACATGTCGAAAATACAAGGCACAACCATTGCTAATTAATTACTTAACCAATTCTAGACTTACATTTGAAAAATACATATTTCTACTTCATTTATTTTTAATCACGACATAACATTGCAACATTGCGGCAAATGCGAGAAATTACAAAACATCAACTTTGAGACGCGTTTAATTACGAGACACGTGAGGATTATTCCATCAAATTGGGAACTTTTAAACAATATTTACTTTGTAGTTCTAATTGCATAGCCCACTTATTTAAATTATTATTATTTTAAACACAATAGTAGTTATGCCTACAAAAATAAATAAAATTCAAAATAAAATAGCACGCGCGACAATAAATTCTACGAAAAAATTTAATGCAATCATTTATAATATATTATGACTTAACAAAACAAAATTATTAATATAAGATAAGTAAATTAGTTTGTTTTTCGTAAATTATTGGCAGCATTAATTATGTAAGTTTCGGTGTAGTTTATCATTTCGAACAGGATTCAACATATTAGTTATTTTCGGCAAGTACCTGCATTCCATAGGAAGTAGTGGCCCTTCATGGGCCACAGTTTCTTATTCACTGTGAACTTCCCCATTTCTCGAGTATTCTTTTATGTGATTGTTTTCGTTTGGACACCGTCGTCAGTCGGACATAACCTGCAAACCTAATAACACTACTTCTGAAATACTACTGTTCGTCAGTATTTGCACACGAAATAATATGCACTACGTTAATTGCGATGTTGGAGAACACATTGTCCCTCGTTTAAATACGATTAGTTACTAAATGCGCCTCGTACGGTCTAAAATCCTTTTATTCACAATCACCTTCATTCGGACAAACTCGTTGGATCTGTTCGTGTGTCACGTTGACAAGTTAGATTGTCAAAAGGCACGCGATAATTATGTCTTTGTCCAATGGCGAGACGATGTCCAATTGTCTTATGAAAATCTGACCAATTGGAAGACGTAGCGTTCATTTGAAATTTGTGCGACTTTGCGATGACCTTGTGTAGGGCGCTCTTGTGCAGGCAATTGCACTTTGCGTAATTGGAGAGTTCAACGATTCGATTTCAATTCAATGATCTTTTTTCTACTTTTTCTATACAAGACAAGAACGTAATTCGATGCTTCGAGTTCAAGGAACTCGTTACTTAATCATTTATGCATTGTATCTTGTAGTTTAAATTATTTATTTAACTTTATTACTTGTTGTTTCTTACTAGCAGGAACAATAATTTAATTATTTTCATAGGACATAATGCACATTATTTGAAAAAGAAAACATTACAGTGAAACTATCTCATCGAAAAATCGATTATAACTTGATACGATTGATTAATAATTGAAGCGTGCTGCACTGCTCATGAGCATTGTACTTCTTTTGTACCTTGTTCTCACTATGCAATGCAAATTGAAATATAAAGTTTCAAATGAAATATAAACACTTCTGAAATTAAGAATTTTAAAACTTAAAGCAATTCGTAATATATTTTTTTACTTATTAAACAAATATTGGTACATTTAGATCAAAATGTCAATGGACTAATCGAGGAATTTATAACCGCAGAAAAGATAAACCGCATAGAGCAAAATACATAAAAATAATTTATGCATAATAACTATATTTGTTTTAGAATTTATTATTTCACTCAATTATAATTTAGTTTGTTTGTTTCAAAATTTTTAAACCGGACTATAATGAATCCGGACTATGCGAGTTATTGTTAAATCATTTTCTACTTAAATTGCAAACATGTAATATATACGACGCTTTAGAAACTGTTAATAACAAAATAATGGAAATGCTAGATAAAACTATATGCTGACTGGATACATAAATTTGCGATTAGAATAAAATGCGTCAACAACCGAAAGTTATAAAACCTTTCTGCTATGTAATTATAATAAAACTCACTGCTTTACAAATTGTACTCATATTTGTATTATTTCTTCCACTCAACTTATCGACAAATACATATGCACAATTTAAGTTTAAAACAAAAAAATTCCATAATATAATATTTATTAATATTAAATTCTTAATAACAAATTATTATAATTTAATAAGTTTGCATATGTTAAAAAAATATACATATTACATTTATGAATTTACACTCAACGCATTTTCTTCTGTTTGGTGAGATGGTTTCTAAGAGCAACCTGCTTATCTTTGAAACTCCTCTTGACTTTGCCCTTCATTTTATGGACAATCATCTGATGCGCCTTATTTTTCCTCTTTTCCCTATTTGTCTTCGAGCAATGTATATTCTGTCTGCCGTCCTTGTAACCGAACTCCTTCCTATCGGTCTGTCCGTTCTTTACGGTCTCCAACCTCGTCTGCTTATCGTGTTTCTTCCTTTTGTAGATGTTTTCGATATCTCCGAGTTTCACCAGGTCAGATCTCTCGGGCACGGATTCGTCTATCTTCCTCTTCAAGCCCTTCGCGCTTGAGGAGAACACTTGTTTTTTAACGTTGGCTAAATCGATCCTCTTAAAATCTTCATCTGTCAATAACCTATCCAGAGACACTTGCTTCGCCTGCTCAACTTTCAGTTTCCTCTCTGCCGCCTTTTTAGCTTTTCCTTTCAACACCGTCTCCTCTGTCTTTTTCTCTTTCTTGTCTTCTTTTCCTTCCTCGGTTTCCTCGTCATCTTCATCCTGTTCGTCATCAACTTCTTCATCATCATCTTCTTCCTCATCGTCGTCATCATCATCATCTCCTTCGATTTCCTCATCAGAAGAATGCTTGATGTCAACCCATTCATCGTCATCAGACTCACTTTCAGAATTAATTTCAACATCGCTATGAGTTTCCTTCAATAAAACTTCGGCTCCGGGAATAAAGTCCTTAGCATCGACCTGTCCGTACTCCCTAACTTCCAACTCCTCAGACGCTTCCGTCGGTCGGCCTCTGTCCTTCTTATGCAATAATTCCGGTCTTATATTTCTGAACAACACGATCAACCCTCTGGCTGCCATCATAACACTTCTATCCTTATACGCTTTGTACTGTGCCAAATCTTGAAGCAAATCTTCGTTCATGCTCAATGGACATCTGCTGCATATTTCTTTGATGGCGTTCAATCCAACGGCCATAACATCTGAAGAGTTTCTTTCAGTCACAAAATTATTGGCTATGGTCTTTAAGACTGATTCGATTATATCTGGCGGTACAAGTTCGTGGCTGGATTGTGCAGCAAACTGAAGTATCCTCGTGACTTCTCTCTGATGTGGTTGCATGAATCTTTGCAAATAAGGATAGAAATTGAACAGGAACAAATCGTGCAAACCGATCAATCGGGAAATAACATCCAGCATCATTAATTTCACCTCGAATCGTTTCGTCTGAGTTTCCAACTGCTTAAATAACTTTTCAGCCATGCCTATAAAAAAATAAACAAAATTAAATGAAACTGCTCAAACTAAGAAAACGTAATTCTTAAGTTATCAAAATGATTACCTTGTGGGTCGTGTATTAAATGAATAGCTGAGAAATTGAAAACGGGCGCGTTCTTTTTCTTTTTATAATTTTTTGCAGCTATTTTCTTAACTTTGCTAAGTTGCTTTTCACGCTTTCTCGTCTTCTTGTTGACTTTGTTTGCCATCATAACTTCCTTTGGATCTACTTCATCCTCTGAATCTGATTCATCTGAATCCTTTTCTTCTGGGTCTTTCCCCAAAAAGAATTTTAATGCTGTAACCATTACCTACAAAATAAATAAATTTATTATTCAAATTATGCAAATAATTAAACCTAAAATACACTCACCTTAACTACTTTAGAAAAACAAGCTGTGGCAATGACATTCACAGTTTTGGTATCATTCCATACATTCTTTTTGTATAAATCAATCATAATATCCAAAGACATTTTAGCAGCTCTATGATTCGTATCATTTAACATGACAAACATAAAGTTCTGTAATGTAGTATTCAACTTTGCATTCTTATGTTTAGCATTGATATTCTTAATGTCAGTAACAATGTGATTTTCCAAAAAGCTTCTCAATGCCTTGTCTTGACATCTCAACAGTTTGAAGAACAGTTCAAGCAAATCTGTGGGAGCCAAAAGGTTTTTGTTTCGGAGCAGAATCAGTGCCTTACAAAATATCATCCTCATGCTGTTCTCCAAAACTGTGTTATGTTTCTCTAGCAAATTTATCAATTGCTGTGGGAAACTGGAAAGCTCCTTCGGATAGCATTGTGCCACCTGAGCCATGAACATTACCAATTCATCTAAAGTTTTGTTTGGTTGTTCCGGGGTCAATTCAAACACTTCAATTGTATTTTTGAAATGCTCCAACTGCTGCATAAACTCTTCATGGTAGGATTCTGCATCGCGTTTAATTAAATTCTGCAGTTGCGGCAAATTATCCGGCAACTGATTATTCTGTTTACGCACCATTTTACTGTATTTCGGTTAACTTTTCACATTGATTCAACTAAAGAAAACACATGTATAAAAATAGGTTATGTTTTGATGTCAGAATATAGACAAATGCGATTGGAAGCAATTGGTAGTCCTGTATTAACTGCAGGGGATATTTGTTTTATGCAACTGCAATACGAATAAATTATTTTCGTACAAGAACAATGAGTTTGTTATTGTTAATTGTTATTGTTTTTAGAAATTTGTTAAAATAATAATATTATAATTGCTTCTTTCACAAACCCAAGAAATTTACATAACATTGCAACTTCAGTCACGTCAAAACCATGTGCTTGTATAATTTAAAGTGTAAACAACACTAAAAGGTTATATTGCTAGGTAGTTGAGTGTAGGATATTAATAAATTCGATTAATTTGAAAATGTTTGAATAACAGAAGCAATTAAAGGCTGATCATGTTTAATTCCTTTACACTAAATGCTTTTAAATTATGTTCTTGCTCAAGCCATGCTTTAAAAGGCCTTTCAAAGGTGTTCTTCAGAAGTATACAGCATCCCTGAAGCATTTCCACAATGTTCGTTTTGAAGATATTCCTGATGTTTCTGCATCAGCAATTAGGAGCCACCTAAAGAAAAGCCATGTTTCCTTTGAGGAAGGCCACACAGATTTTATAACTGGATGTCTGATCTGCAATAGGAATGGAAAATCAGTGTCTGATAAGACAAAGATCTTCATTAACAAATGTACAGGTATGAGCATACAGATATTGGGGTAATCATAGTAATGAGATTGTAATGTTATTTAGGATCTTTCACATGTGAAACTTGCCAACATACAGGATCATGGATGGACATGAGTCAATATATTAGTGCTAAAAAAGGGAATGTTAAAATTGGCAAAGACCCAATGGTTGAAGAAGAGCTGGAGCATTTAAGTCAGTACTTGAAAAGTAAAAAGAGAAATACCACTAGCTTCATGGATTTGAATGATGAAGATTTTAATCTAATATTAGAGAAATTTGAGTTACCTGTAAGTAATATAATAATAAATGAATAAAGAATTACTGAATTGCTTTTTAGGAATGTGCATCAAAGGAATTAATGCATTCCTTAGGAGTTACAGTAGATCTATCAAAGATGCACATATACTTTCCTTTAAAAAACAGCGCTTTGGAGGTTGTTTCCTATAAAGTATTAAAAGAAAGAGACGATTATGATATTAAACCAAAATTACTATACACAAAGCAATCAGGAGTATTGATTAGTAATAATGCAAAGAGCAAATCAGCTGTGATCGTAGCAAACATTTCCGACTTTTTAATACTTGCTCAGAGCGGCGTGTCTTCCACTGTGATTTGTCTTCCAAATGAACTCGCAAGTTTATCGCAACATATTCTACCTTGCTTCGAGCGGTTCAATAAATTAATTCTTTGGTTCCAAAGCGATTTGGCAACTTGGGAGAATGCGAGAAATTTCGCAAGAAAATTCGTAGAGAAACGATGTCTGTTTATTAAGTGAATATTTAAGTGTATCATATATTTAAATTGATAATTAATATTTGATGATTGTAGACACGCGGATAGAAATAAGTTACCACATTTGGATCCGCAACAGAATTTTAATTCAACAATTTCTGGAGCGCAGCCCATGTGGCATAAGTCGATTACAACGTTTGCAAGTTTACGGCAGGAAGTTCTCACCGATTTGATGAATGTGGATAGAGTAATGCGTCTTTACAATATGTGTGTATGTATGTTTCTTATTGCTTTGCTTATTTCAGGTGCAAGGTATAAAGTGGAATAGGTTTCCGACGTTGAATAAGATTCTGAAAGGGCACAGACGAGGTGAGTTGAGTATATTCACCGGGCCAACCGGTTCGGGAAAGACGACATTCATCAGCGAATATTCCTTGGATTTGGCGATGCAGGGTATAAACACCCTTTGGGGCAGCTTCGAAATACGGAACGCTCGTTTAGCGCGAACAATGTTGCAGCAAATGTCTGGTATTGCTTTAGACGAGAACCTAGATAAGTACGATTTCTGGGCCGATAAGTTCGAGCAATTACCCATTTACTATATGACATTTCACGGTCAACAATCGATCAAAGTGGTTATGGAGGTGGTTATTTTATTTATTGAAAGGGAGACCACTGATTAATAGGTTTATTGATTATTTCAGGCGATCGAACATGCAGTCTACGTGCATGACATTTCGCACGTGATTATTGATAATTTGCAATTCATGATGGGCACTTCCGAGGATTCGCGGCACATGGATCGATTCTGGAAGCAGGATCTGATTGTCGCTAATTTTCGGTCTTTCGCAACCCGCAGGAATTGCCACGTCACTTTGGTGATTCATCCGCGGAAAGAGCGAGAGGATGAGGATCTGACGACGAGCTCCATCTTCGGTGGAGCAAAAGCATCGCAAGAAGCTGATAATATTCTTATCATTCAGGATAAGAGATTAGCTTCGATTAAAGGCAAAAAATATTTACAGGTATTTAAAAACTTCACAGCACTATACATGCAGATTTATTTAAGCAGTCCTCATATTAGTTGGTTTGTTATCTTTAACCATTCCTATTATCTGTCATTTCAATTTTCTTCCATATGTATACTCCTTACTTATTTCCAATTTATAATTTGTTTTCTCAGCCTCTACATTATTTCTCGATTCCGATTTGTTTCTCATCGTTACGTAATTCAATTATTCAATTTACTTGATGTAAAGTAGTTATTAATGAATTATCTGTCTACCTTAACGATAATAATTAACATTACAAAGCTCTCGTTTTTAGTTGCTCGTTAAAAGTTCATCAGTCCATGACAATGCATTTTCTAGCGAATGATTCAACTAATCTGAACATTTATTAGATACCATTACTCTTAGAATGCAAATGTAATCATGTAACAATAATTATAGTGCTTTATAATATGATTTATGTTTGTACAACGATTTTCTATTGACCTAAATGTTAGTGGTCATAAAAGACATAGAAAATCCTACATTATCATACTTATCTCTGTTTAGAAATTACATTTTTTTATCATTTAGATTACTTAATCACAAGTTACGGAATCTTCTATTTAGAAATCCGGTATTATGTAGTAATGACTGTCCACCGTATTGAATTTGAATCATTTATTTTTTAGTAACATCAATTTCAATAAAGTGTTATGTTATAATTGTGTGTTGCAGATTTGCAAGAATCGTTATAGCGGTGATTTGGGTATCGTGCCATTGGAATTCGATAAAACTAGTTTAAGTTTTGCGCCAAAGAAGAAAAAGTCTGATGATAAAAGATTAAAGCAGCAGGAAGGTAGCGAGTAGCGGATGTTATTACTATTATTTTTTTTTATACAAGAGTCATTCTATAATAAATTTTATGTACGTTTTAAATTATTCCCGCCACATGTTGAAATCCTGAAAACATGGCCGTCTGAAAACATCTGGAGCCGCGTTGGCTTGGTTGCAGACGAGCCAAAACATCTCAAGTTCATGCATCGATCGGAGCGGCGGCGTTCCCGATTCTTAGTATTAATTTCCTTTAGTTTGTAGTCTGGAACAATGCTGAAATCAATTGTGCTGATACTGTTCGCACTTTCGCAAACCTTGCTGGCAGAGGTGAAAGAGCCGACCGTCGTGGTCGGCGTGCTCATCAGAAACAAAGGGCACACTCTGCCCTATTTCCTTACACATTTGGAGAGGCTGGACTATCCGAAGCACAGGATATCATTATGGTTAGTATCACAACCAATCGAATTACCGCATGCGATCACAGAACACGTTCCGATTTGTTTACCTGTTGGACACGCCCACACCATGTTGCCATTCTATTGATAGATAGATATTAACGCGATGCATGTTTCAGGATCCGCAGCGATCACAACACTGACAACTCGATCGAGATCATCAAGAAGTGGTTGTACTTCAACGAGAACCATTACCATTCGGTGAATGTGGAATATTTGCAAGATGCAGATAAATATGAGAACGAAAGCGGTCCAGCTCACTGGACATCCGAACGTTTCAATCACGTTATCAATTTACGGGAGGCAGCGTTAAATCACGCCCGTCGCATCTGGGCCGATTATCTATTAGTGAGTTTGAAAATTTGCGAATTTATGATGCAAGTTTACTGATTCTCAAACGCATTTACAGGTTATAGATGCGGACGCGTTCCTCACCAATCCCAGAACGCTGAAATCTCTGATTTCCAAGAATGTTACAATCGCTGCGCCGATGCTCAAATCCGATGGACTGTATTCGAATTTCTGGCACGGAATGACAGATGATTACTACTATGAGCGAACCGAAGATTACAAACCGGTTTTAAATAGAGAGAAGAAAGGCTGTTTTCCTGTACCCATGGTACACTCTTGCGTGCTAATAGATCTTCGTAATAAAGAATCGGATTTGTTGACTTACAATCCTGAGTATAATAAGGAGTACGATGGACCGAAGGACGATATTATCATTTTTGCTATGAGCGCGAAAAGCAATAACATTGATCTGATGATTTGCAACGAGGAGACTTACGGATTCATCATGGTGCCCTTAGATCAAGAGGAAGGCGTACTTTTCGATTTATTACAATTATCGAATTTGAAATTGGAGATGTTGAACGAGTACATCGATTTGGAGGTTGATTCTAAACTGGCCGAATACGTGGAGCCGGTTATGAAGGATAGTCTGGGTTTCGACAAGATATTCATGATCAATTTGGTGCGACGACCGGAGAGGCGGGATCGCATGGTGAAATGCTTCGATGAGCTGGGATTGGATGTGCAAATAATTGACGCGGTTGATGGAAAGTAAGTAGAAATTTTATTTATTTTTCTGTCTAACAATAGTCTTTATTTTATACTGGGGTGTTGGGGTATTGGCAACGGACGCTCTTCCTGGTGGTTCCCAGGCTTCCGTTGAATTTGTAAAGTGCAGTTCCGCCTGCGTTGTTTGATTGGCTATAGATTATGGGGCGGTTCATGTTGGTACGAGTCGTTGTCTTGCAGAAGGCGCGGTTTGCGGCGTGATGCATCTTCCTTATACCTTCCTAAAATTACAGACACATTAAGTATACTAGCAACAATACAATGATCATAAACTATATTGAAATGCTTGAAACATGGACTAATATAATCTAAGTTGATATTAAGGGCAGTATTGATGCTATTGAGTTAGTATTACAATAATATTGTACATAAAATATGTTACAAATTGAGGAGGAATATATTGGAAATAGTTATAAATTCGCAACATTTCTTCATATTAATATAATTTCGTTAGTTTGCAGTTTTAGTCATGTTCATTTCATAACTATAATATTTTGGTATATTCTCTTCTATCAAAGATTTCTAATTGTTTGTTTAATGTGTTAAGTCGTACCTTGATTTCGATCATGCGCGAGGAGTATATTATGGGATTAGCTAAAGTTTTAAGGATCAACAGTGTGTTGCACATCCATGGTATCATGAATTGGAAGGTTGGGCTTATAGATATGTCGTCTCTGAGGTAGACGCAACCCTCGTCGCATATGAGCAAGAACGTCAACGTTGCAGGCATCCAGCCAACAAGACATGATCCTAGTATTAGGAGAGTAGTGCATATTGCCTTAACATTTCCTTCCATCGTCCTTCTCTGCTGCTGCGATTTACAAGTGCCTTTGCTCTTCTTGCTGCCTGATCTGGACAGTTGCGCCCAGAGCTTCTGCTGCTTCCTTACCATGAATAGAATGTGCGTGTAGAACAGAACCATGAGTATCAACGGAACAAAGAGCAGCGACGAGAACACCAGTCTGAACGTGAGCATGTTCAAAGATTCCAATCCGTCCGAGTTGACTTTGCTTTGGAAGTAGACGACGAAGAGTCCTGTGGGCACCATCCAAAGCATCACAATCACGATGGTGACCTTCCTCGTCGTCATCATCGTTGTGTAGTGCAGAGGCTTTAATATTCCGAGCCAGTGGTTTACACTCAATGCGAGTAGATGAGCAACGGTAATCAGGATTCCGCTCAACCTAAACATTTCAATTTGGATGAAGGATATTGTTGGTAGGATCTTCATGTTATGGACAATCGGTAGGTAGCTGTTAATTATTAGACCCGTTCCGAGGAGGAGAGACGAGCAGGCGTCGGCCGCTGCTAAACTTAAGCTGATGTGGAGAGTGGGCGAAAGAGGTCTTCGGATCCAATGTGCGGACAGCAATACTCGGATGTTGACGCAAATGGATATCATGCAGAAGACGCACATCAAAGGGATTAAAAAGCGGTACAGGTTTATCAGCAGCAGTGTATCCTCGTCCATTTCATCCGATGATGTTCTATTATTCGTCCTATTCACATCCATACTTATTTCTGAAAAATAACATAAAATCAAAATTAATGAAAAAATATATTTAGAGTAATATAATTAAAAGGCTATAATATATGTTATTGGTATTGCAAGCTAAGTAAGAACGGATAATTAGAAAATGAAATCGATTGAATTCAAGACTGCTTTACTTTTGTTTGTCGTATCGTCCTGCTGTACACGACGCATTCTGTGTCCCAGTTGTTCTTTCATCCCAACATTCTGATGTTTGACATATTCCATATTGAACTTAATAGAAAACTTTAATTTTAACACACAATTAAAATTTGATCCTTGGCTTTTTCACTTTTAAGAACAATTATATAAGAATTATGGTTTTAGATGTTAAACAATTTATAAATGTAAATTAAAAGTTATTACTTAACGAACCAATTAAGAAAACGTGGTTTCCTCATAATAAATCGATAGAAATGAAATATTTTACATCATTGATTTCTATAAATCATATATTTTAATTAAATGTAATTAATTTGAGATTAATTCTCGTATCTCTCTACTTTATTGTTAAAACGTGATAAAGCGTTAATTGCTTCCTATATGCAAGCAAAACGTTAAAACGCGACGCGACGTTGAAATTAGTTAGTTCCGTCGCTTTGGTTTCATAATTTCATCCACTCAGTTTTATCTGTAGCGAGTCGAAATCCCCTACTCCTTACTTAATAGACAGGAGTCTGTAAACAATATTACTTCATCAGAATACTTAGTAATCCAAGCATCGGTTTAAAACACAATGCAGTACAGATTTCAAAGCGTATGGTTAATTCATTAAATCCGGTCGCTGTTAAAAGAGTTTAATCTCGATTATATCTTTTACATATTTAAATGACAAATGCGTTAATTACATTTATTTCTGAAACAGATAGTAATCATGTTATTTACTTAATTGTTAAATTACAATTTCATGACATTACAGTACAATATGTGAATTGGAAGGATTGTTTTTTTCTTATAACAAATTGAACGAAATGCGGATTTGGGAAATTGCTAACGAGATTCTTTTCGAATAGATGAAAAGTAAACATCATCAAATTATGCATTCATATCATTCTCATTCGATCTGAGAATGTATTATTACATTTTCTGGAATACTTTCAGCTCAGTTCGCAATCTAATAAATTAAATACGCTCGGATCGATATATGTCAATTTACAACCCACATTGTCGACATCTTCCGCTCTATCTACTACCCTGAGCATTCCATCTTTTCAGCGAATCTCTATCTATGCATATTAGCAAACCCCTATCAGTCTGTTCCTATATGCGTATAGTTTGTAATAAACATTTCGACAGGTCGATGAAATTAGAATTAATCAACCTATTGGGTCGCGAAGTGATAGCAGTTGTATAATGAACTAGAAACAAGTATGTTATGTCACGCGACAAAAAAGGTTGAGAAATGCTGCTCTATAGTCTATCTTGTTACAAGTAAATACTAGACACTACTTTTCAAATAACAATTTCTCATGTATTGCGTTTCTTTAGAAATATTTAAAAAAAATAAATTTTATGTAATTATTATTGACGTATTGACTAATTTACGTTTTCTGTTATCGAAATTTGCGAAATTTCCGTGTTTATTTTTATAATTCTGTTTTTAAACTGCAAAATTAAATTTGGCGCATAATTGATGATATATAATGAAAAAGCAAATGAAAATGTGCACGCGAAAATAATGGAAATTCATTTCGTTAATATAAATTTATCGCAAATCGAGACCGGATGTGAGAATTAAAAATGCCAACGCACATAATATTATTTTAATTAAATGTTGAACAAACCCGATCCCCCAACCCCCCTCGAAAACAAATGCACAACTACGGACTTCCAATGGAATTCAGCCAGCATCGACGACCGCAAAAATAATTAAATTCTCAATCCGCCGGACGCACACATGCATCGATTAAACGAAAATCGGCAGCGCTTCAAAATTAAAAGAATCTTTCGTCTTGTCTTGCAGGAACTTAAATGAGACCTTCCTAAGTGACATCGACTTCTTGCCAGAGTACGCGGATCCTTTTCACAAACGGTAGGTAATTGCATTACCCTCCGCTAATTAAGACAAATTACGTTTTCGAACACCCCACCTTTTTTGTCCGCCGCTCTCTTTTATTCTAATTTTGCTTGTTGTTTTATCGCATAGGGCCATGACGTTGGGGGAGATCGGATGCTTCATGAGTCACTACAACATCTGGATGGAGGTGAAATTGCAAAGAAGCTGCAATTGCGAGGGCACGAACTCAATTGATTTTTTGCAATTTACAGATCATCGAGAAGGGATACGAAACGTCGTTGGTGTTGGAAGACGATATTAGGTTCGAGCCGTTCTTCAGGATCAAAGTTAGAAATTTGATGGATGAGGTTCATCGGCTACCAAACTGGGATTTAGTGTAAGTACATATGAAGTTATAAAGTTTTCTTTTTCTCTAATTTAATTTAACTAATTTATTATGAGTTGGGTTGAAATATATTTAATTATACATAAATTAGTTAATTAGTTATATTTTTGTAATAATACTTATCATAACTTAACATGCGAGAAACTATTTACATTATATCTGTTGTAACCTAACCTAATTTAACCTAACCTAAATATGAAATTACAGTATTTAATCTAAGTATTTTGTCACTTTAAAATATGTATTTTCTTTCAAATACTACGTTAAAGAAAGAATGAACACAAATATTTAACAATATTAATTGATTCCATAGTTAAAATCAGTAAAGTTTTTTTTTATCTAACCTAAACAACTGTACTCAGCTTATTAAAATTTAAAAATAACTTAACTTGGATCACTTTCATTGTTTTTCTTTTCTTAGATATTTCGGCAGGAAGCGGCTGCAGGAAAGCGACGAATCCTGGGTTCCGAATTCAAAGTATTTGGTTGAAGCGGGTTACTCCTATTGGACGTTGGGCTACGTGTTAAGTCTTCGCGGAGCGGAAAAGCTTTTGGCAGCGGAGCCACTGAAGAGGCTACTTCCTGTAGACGAGTACTTTCCAATTTTATTCGACCGTCACCCCGAAGCGAATTGGAAAGGCCACTTCCTGCAGCGAGATCTGGTCGCTTTATCCGCGGCGCCTCTCCTCCTGTATCCCACTCATTACACCGGGGAGAACGGATACATCAGCGACACAGAAGATTCGATTATAGTCCAAAACAATACCAGAGACGAATTTTAAAATGCGTTCGTAACACTCGAGCGCATATTCCGCACGGTTATTATTACTTTTGTGTTCCTAATTTCGAAAGACTAGTGCCTTATTGCAAATTAATACGTATTTCCTTCTCACACTAATGCGAATTTAATTATTATCAATTGTTATTCAATCGCGTTTCCAAATTTTTATATAAATATATATATTTTATACTCACGCATCGATTAATCGTATCAATTTACTTTAATTTGAACGTGCCATATAAATATGTTTTATTTTTATTTTTTACAAATATAAATATATTTACAGATTTTGTTTTGTTGATGTATATTCTAAAGATTTATACTTTTACTAATAAATTTATATCAATACTTTTCATTTATTATTACTACCCTTCCTAGCCTCGTTCTCCATCGTGTTCTTATCTTATTCTACATTTAGTACTGTAATAACAGTAACGTTCATACTGCACACAGCTGGGTGCATCAGTTGAAAGAAAACTTTTATAATCAATTCAAGTACTTTTTCTACTTAAAATAAGTCCTTTTAAGCAATATAATTCGATTACCTATCTGAATTTAAAGAATACAGTTGTAAAAAAACAGCAGTCGATCTGATATTAGCATTAAACTGAGATTCTGAAGAGGAACAATCTTAGATGGATCATTTGTGTTGCATGTAAAACAAGAGTATACACGAGGACCTCCAAATGAAAACAGTTTAATCTATTGTGAAAGGCGGTCGCAGGTATTCAAATACGCTCGAAAGACACAAATGTTAGCAATCAATCTCCTTGACAACGCCTTGGTTTGTCGCTTAACAACCCAACAAGTGAAGCAATGCAGGCCACAGCATCTACCACTTAGATTTAATTAAACCTGTACTACTATCTAATTAAGGTAAATTGCCGTAGGGTGACACCAACAAATGTCAGGTTTACTGAATGTTTGTTAATAAAGTAGATAGTACTTAAAAATAAATAAAAAATAAAGTTTATTCTATCACTACAATAAATTTGTTTATACAAATGTTATTTAAGTATAATAATATATAATCATTAATTATGAATATTTACAACAAATAGACTCAATATTAATAGAACAAAGACAATTTGATATTAATTCTAAATTTATTATATATTCTACTAACTGACTTATCTACTTACAATTGCAAGAAATGCATCTTTACATTATGAAAAAATGTGGATGCGCCTGGTTCAGCCCATGCTTATAAAATTGTTATATATTTCTTTTAGTTTAGTAACGTACGCATTTTATTTTGAAATAGTATTTTTCTAATAGTTGTACTAATTCACACCGATTTGTTACAATCTCTTTGTATAACAAGCATTTTTTTTTATTACTGAAATCATATTGAAATCATACTTTTAATGATTGATCTCTTTGTACAAGTTTTTTTTCTTCTAAAAATTAGATTTAAATTTGTCAGATAAATTACTATTTAAACCAATTAATCCTGCTTTAACTCAGTTTTTTTTATTTATTTGATTTGATTACAGAATTTACGTTGAACAACATAATTATGATTTATGTTCATTTTTGTGTGTCAAACTTAAATTTCAAACAAAGTCTAAATTGTGTTTTTGTTATTGGAAACATATTGAATATGTCAACACATAAACACATTTAAATCAGCACTCGTAATCTTTTGAAACTTATTTTGAAACAAACATTTTGAATATTTCAAATTTCCTGAAGCGACGGGATAATAACTATTTTTTGAAACGAATAAAATATAAATGCACGCAGGAGCTTTGTTGCGCGTAGTTTGCAAAGCAGGATAATCATTATCCTATGCCTGTGGCGAGCTTATATAATAACAAACTTTCCGAATATAAAACTCTTTCTCTCAAAGAATGGTTTTGAATTTTGAACTGCAAATAAATATAAATTGGAATCTACGTGCAAATAACAACAACAAAACATACATCGATCATCGCTCTATGACAATTCTTTGTAGAGAGAGTTAAACGAGTAAATATGCGTGAGGAGCGGAAATGAGTTGAAAAACGGATATTTCCTTCTTTCGTTCTCCCCCCTTATGGAAATAAACGGAACGCAAATATTTGCGGATGCGAACGCTGGAAACGAATGACACCTTATCTGCGTTGAATTATATCAGCACCGGAATAATGAATAATGTAATAGCGCTGTCGGGACGAGCACTTTGATGACAACAACAGGAAAAAAAATTGAAGGTCCGCATTTGCAGAACAATAAAGATATAGATAAACGCGGGGGTCATTCGGGAATCCCAGCAAACTGATGATGTTTTTTTTTGTAGCGTTTTGATATTGTTCTTTATCACCTGTAATTTGCGTAGTTAATTGAAATTTTATGATAACTTACAATTATGTTAATAATATTAATTTATTGAAAACCAATAGATTTAATTGAATAGATAATTAAGTCTATTGATTACATTACAAACATAAACATAATTGACTATAAGTGTTAAGTGTACATGTTTTTTAGTAAAACTGATTTTAATATAAGTTATAATTTTTGTTTGTAGTTATTGTTAAGATTATTTTGCTAGTTCCTTGCTTTGACACAAGGTGACAGCTGTTATTTAGCGAGTTTATATGAATGAATTATATTATTTGTTGTATTCATTAACACGTGAAGCAAAAATTATAATTTTTAGTATTCAAAGTTGAAATTACATCCACTTACGTTTTTCAGTCTTTGCATGTTTTTTTCATCTGTTGTAAAAGAAAAGAAGAACTATTTTTTTAAAGAGTCTAGCTATGACATAAGGTGACAACTGTCATTTCGTGACCCATTAAAAAAATTAACACGGCACATAGGTTGAGAAACGCTGGTATATCAATGAATTGTAAAAATGTATGCTTTTACTAGAACATCAAAAATATTATTTATGAATACATTTACTTATGATTCTGAGTCAAATATTGAAATATATTCACTTTACAAAGTAAACAAATACATAATGAAACAACTGAGAACAATTTGAAGAATACACAAAGTCGGATTAAGATTTATGAATTAAAATTGAACACAACAAAGAGGGGAAACGCAAAGATGCTCTTGACAAGTCACTATAGACAGGATTAAATGGATCTGGGCGAGTTAACGGAGGTTAAGAAAATTAATTACTTGATGAGATTCTAGTGAAAATGGGGTAAAGCAGATGAAGGTTTATCCATCACATCGCGTACAACCGAGCTTTCCAAATGGAGATATTCATGGAACATGGACACAGTTGTAATTACTAAAGCGATAATTAATAGCCACACAGTTCAAGTTTACTCGAATTGAATAAAACGTTTATTAAATAATCAATTAATATTGCTGTATTTCAAAAAGGTTTGTAGTCAATAAATGATATATTTTGATAATTCATTGATATATATATAGTATCAGCGTTTCTGAACCAATGTGTCGTGTTAAAATTTCTTAAGGAGTCGCGAAATGACAGCTGTCACCTTGTGTCAAAGTGAGCCAGTTTTCCAATGTTAAATATATTACAGTTGAAGCTTTTAAATTTGACAACTTAAAGTACTTGAGTTATTTTTAAGAACAGAATATATAGTTAATTACTGTTATTTTCATAACTACAAGTTTTGTAAAAAACATTCGTTAAATCTGAAATTACTATTTTTTATATCCCTAGTAGTTTGTATGCACCTAAAGTATGATAAATTTTGTTTTGTTTAGACTTTTTGTATTATAAGTAAATTAATGTTTCTATATAAAGTGCACGTGACATATTTATAAATATTTATAATATATTACTTACAAATGCACAAAGTGACTAAATATAAAATTATTGGTTGGGGACTTGTGACTATCTGCATGAAAATTTAACGTTTTTTCGCTTTGAATAATTGAACAAGATATTTATTCTTTTTGGGTCAATTCGGATAGTGTGTCTATAAATATTAATGGAATTTTTTGAAAGCCTGAAAATGGCTGAAAATAAATCGCTTTATTTTTCACAATTACGTTAATAATGCGAGTGACAGTGACAGAGAATTACGCAGTAAATTGGTGAAAAGAGCGAAACACATTAGGAATACGAAAATGACGATGATGGATGAAATGTACATAAATGTTGAAGAGCGTATTGGGAAACGAATAAAATAGTCGAGTAGTAGTGGAAAATGTTGAAGTGTGCAAAATGATACGCCACTTTAGAAATAGTGCTTCTCTTCGTTTAAAACAGAAAAAAGCAAAAAAATAATAATGGAAGGACTGAAAATCGCAGGTGGATGTGATTTGAACCTTGTGCACTATAAATTTCAATTTTTGTTTTGCGTTTTAATGAATATAACGTATACATTTAAATTAACGATATGAGTATAGTATTAAGTAATTAGTATTTCGAGAGCACTAGATAGCGCAGCAGGTTTTATTGTTGCTCGAGATTAATGTGTTGCCTGTGAATGCATCCCTTAATGCATTGGTTAAAGGATTTTCAGATAACTGCGCTCAATATGTACCTTAGTTTATACTGCTCCTTGTTTGGAAAGTGGGACACCGCGTGATTGAAGTATATATACAATAAATGCGTCCTGAAAGCTGTAAACGTTTATGGATAAGATTAGGGCAAGGAGATTATCAAGTTGGGATAAATGGCTGTGGTAATTTCGGTTAATTGTGAATGCAACTGTGATTATCATGAGTTTGCAGTTTGTATCGAGATAGGTCAATAATTACAAATGGATATATTGTGGTAATATTATTAGGTCGATTGGCTATCAAACATGGGGTCCTATTATGTCTACATTATACTGTGTAAATGTGCCTAATACCTTTCCTTTCCAATTATTGACTAATTGACCTATTGACTAAATCAAATGTCTTCTTAGGAAATCAACAAATTAGTGGTAATTAGTAAGATTTAGTAAAGTTGTTGAACACCACACATTCCACAACATAAACAAAGGGAATCGTCGAAAGACTAAAAATATTATTGAATAATAACACGGTAATTGGTTTTTGAATAACACGGTCAAAAATTGCAACACGGTAATAAAACATAGATTCTCAAAATTTTATTGGTATAACTTTTGTTTGTCTGATGTTTAAATTTTAAAATAAAAATCTGGAATCGAATTTTAATTTTTATATAGATTTTTAGTATTGAATAACACGAAACCAATTATTATACTATTAGGAAAATTAAGTTTATATTAACTTTGAAAGTTTTGCAATATATGAGACG